ATTGCCCAACCTTCCTTCCAAGGAGTGGCTGGTGGGTTTGAACCGCCAGCCTTCTGGTTAGCAGTCAAGTGCTTTAGCCACTATGCTACCAGAGCTCCTTCCATAAAGAATACAGCCTTGGAAACCCTGTGGGGGAGTTCTACTTTGTTCTACTGTGTCACTCTGAGTCAGAATCAACTCTAGGCACACAACAGCCACACAGCAGCAAAACATGGTTAGGAGCAGTTGAAGAGACAGGAACAAATTGCACTTTTCTGCCAAAGTTTCTCTTTTTTCTCTTTCTATGTTTTCAAATAGAAAAAAAAAAAAAAAAAAGCAGGATTTTAATCGAAACTAATGTGCAAAAGAAATCATTCCCAAGATATAAGAGTCCTGTGAAGGCAGAACTTGGGTTATGTATTTACTTATATATTTTCATGATAAATCAGCAAGAGTAAGACACAGGAAACTTCTGGATAATTTAAGACCTGGCCAGAGTTTGTGTATAATGTAGTGAGTGTTCCATATTCTGTTTTGAGGATTTGGGGCATAGAAGCTCAGAGGAGGAAAAGTCATAAATGTACTAGAAAGGCAAAGAGGTACAAAAGGGGATATAAATTGGAGTATCAGGTTTAGTCATAGATTTTTTTTTTTCCTCAAGAGATTGAGTGATTCAGAAATGTAACCTGGATAATGGAAATACATGTCTGCCCATGTCACTAGGAAATTTGAAAATTTTCTTAAATATGAAGAATAAGCAAACTATCACAAAAAAACTATATCCCCTGGAATGCATGTTGGGAGCAAGATACTTTTCCAGGGAATATGTAAGCAGTGTTCTAGGACATGGACCAAAAAAAATCTGTGATCTAGATTAGGAAGCGGTTCTCAGGTTTGCGCTTGTCCCAACATAGGATGTCTCTCTATATTATAAGAGGACAGTGTGATTCTCCAACTAAAGTCATGCCTTGTTTTTAGAACCTGATAACAACACATTTCTGGGAATCACTTCCCTCTGGTCAGAACACATTCCACTATTGTTCGCCACCAAAAGTCATTCTTTACAGAGGGGGAATGTGTGTGTGAGAGAGAGGGTGATGGCAGTAGGAGGGTGGCAGGGGTCTGTTCTTTATTCGTGAAATACCCATTTCTAGTAGAATGGGAGAAGTAAGCTAAACAATGCTGACTCCAACCGTTAAACCAAAAACTTTCTTACTAGCTTACAGTTTTATGTTACCAATTCTGGGGAATTTACTAAGGATTCCTGACTACAAAACAGGATTCAAAAAAAAAAAAAAAGAAAAAAAGAAGAAGAAGAAGAAGAAGAAGGAAGCAGCTCAAATTATACCAGGTCCTCTTTTTATTAAACTTGGAGGAAAAATAAAACATTTTAATAGGGGGAAAATATATTCTAAAGACAGAAGGAACATTTAGCTCTGAGAATCATTTTGGTAAGTGAAAACTCTTTATGACACTCAAATTTAGCCTTAGAATATAAAAATGATTGTTCTGATTAGTATATTAGCAACAATTACTTGAATGGAAGATGTTTCCTTCCTTCTTAATTTTAGGTTCCAACAAGGCAGAGCAAGTCTGGGTCCTTTTGAAGATTATTACTGTTTATTGGAGAAGAGTATTCATCCCAGATAACAATACTGAGTCCTGCTTTTCCTCTGTCTCCCAAAGGGGACAGCATGAAACTGAAAGTATACGTATATAGTAAAAAAAAATTTCAAATCTTTCCGTTCAAAATCTTCCAAATTATTAATCTCCATTTACTCCATGATGAGATGATGGTGCTGTATTTAAATAAAATTTTCATGTTTTCAGGATGAGTACAAATTGTCTCTAGGGAGAAGAGTAAAACCCACTCTAGCAGCAGAACAACAAAGGAAGGTGTACTTTAAATTCTTGGGCAGCTCAGAAGAGCTATTCCCATTGTACAAATGAAGAGAAAAAGAACAACAAGCCCAAGTTGACTTTTTTCTGCTCCCTCATGGGTGGGGCTCCCTGGCAGAGTGGGTGGCTTCTGTGAGAAAAGAACCCACGGAGCAGATTGGCCATGAGAATTCTAGAATCTTGTCCTTTGCACTTAGATGCCTTGCCATTTTGTTTAAACAGAGAATATCTTTAAAAACATTCTTAGAAGGGCACAGAATTTTGAGGGAGGGTTTATGAAACATTCTTATGTGAGACATAATGCACATTTACCTACAGGAAATAATAATAATTAGTTCACATTTGTATGACCAAAATGCAATGGTCTTTGTAGTCCCTTACAATCTATGCCCTACTCCTGCCCCATAGCTCCCTCCTCTCCTCTCTTCCTTCCTCATTGACTGTTGATGGTCTTTGAACTTCGAACTCTCCAAGCATAATCTAGCTTCAGGACTTTTTAAAAAAAATTTATTGTGATTTGGGTGAAAGTTCACAGAACAAATTAGTTTTCCATTCAACAATTCATACACATTTTGTTTTGTGACACTGATTGCAGTCCCCACAATGTAATATCACTCTTCTCATTTCCTTCCTGTGTTTACTATTTCCATTGGTCCTGCTTTCCTGTTCCCTTCTAACCTTCCAAGCTTCATCCATGGGCAAATGCTGCCCTTTTGATTTAATAAGGAATGCATGTCTCTCTGGTGTTACTGTTCACTTTAAAGGCCTGTCTATTGTCTGGCTAAGGAGCTCTGGTAGTGCTGTGGTTAAGGCATTGGGCTGCTAACCAAAAAGATTGGTGGTTCAAATGCAGCAGCTGCTCCACAGAGAAAGATGAGGCAGTTTGCTTCCGTAAGGACTATGGGGTCACTATGAGTCAATTCTTTGACTTGATGGTTGTGGGTATTGTTTAGCTGAAAGTTGAGCC